GATCCGAATATATGCTTTGTACATAACCTTGACTTTGTGACTGAAAAGAAGACTTGGACAAAAAAGATGATTTGGATTTAAAATTTGTGTACAAAAAAGATAGTTCCACTGTGAAGTTTTTGTAGATCGATAAAGAAGAATAGTGTGTTGTCTTCTCTTTTTACCAATTATAACACGATTTGCCCTGATACCAAACGTTACGGGAAGAAGAAAAAGAGAAATCGTATCTTTGAAAGATAGATTTTTGGACGACATCCGTGTCTGCAGGTCGCCCGCACATGCAAGTCGCGGTTTTTCTTCTCCATTTTCGTGATTTGATCCGCAACCCCGCCCCCCCTCGCGCGCAAAGAGATCCTTTCCACTTAGGAATCTTAACTCCTTCAAAGAGGCTTCCCTTTATAAGGGGGTGAAAATCCCTTGGATTTTCTGGTGTGGGATAAATCACACTAGAAACCCATCATTTTCCCAGTTTTCCATTTCAACGAGTGAACTTCGAGAATCAATTTCTCACTCACCCATTATCCATTTTGAGTGTACCACATATTGAATTATAGCCCTTAACAAGGACAATCTGAAACCACTTTGACCCGACCCAAATCCGAAGTGGACCCCACTCAAAATATTGTCCCAAAATTACCACTTAATGCAATTTTTAACACATTTTTCTAACAGTAATAACATACTCAGGAGTTGCCATGATTTTATCAGGTGTGTTGGTATTGTCTACATTAGGGTTTTGAAGGTCTTCAAGCACCATTAGTAAACTCATAACATTATTAGGGTGCATGATACTATGATTGCTCGAATCATATTGTTCAATGTGAGGACGCTAAAGGCTTCTTGTAACCTATCGAGACGGTTCTACTTCTTTTCTCGATGATTGTTGACGATTGTTCAATACTCTGATTCCACATAGGTGATGGTTCAACATACACCAAACTATCATTTTGCAAAACTCTGTATCTGAATACCTCCAATGTGCATCTATCTATTTCTTTTCTCCTTCATGCTTTCATAATCCTGCATGAATATATATACACATTGGATTGTATAAGATGCACTATACAATCCCCTCTAACATTATTTAACTTTATATGACTAACATATTTGATCTCGAAGTTAAATTAAAACACAAAATTGAAGTCAAATATATAGTTGTATGAATAATGAGAGTGACCATGTAATACCTCGTAACACGTGTTTAAATAGAGTAGTTTGTGCCGTTTAATAGAGTGACCATTACAAAACCAGTTAGTTAACGTAACACTTGCTTTTCCATCTTTTACAAACCTCAACCAAAAAAATTGTTTACTTTATTATTCTCTCTACCAGTCAAACTTGGCAATATTTTAAGAGATAGAGGAAGTATATATTTATATAAATATATTATTGTTCAAATCTAGTTTCTGGTTAATCTGAACTGCTAATTGAATGAAGTATACATGTTTTAACTATAAATGCAGCACATAACTAGTTTTGTAGTATAAAAATTAAACACACGTTTCACAATACACTTCATCAATATTTTGCATACTAATAATTACTGGTAAATGGGAAAAATAACCCATTTCACATGGTTTTAGAAGTCTGCGGTGTAAATTACCTTCATTGTATAAAAAAAAGTAAAATGCATTAATTAGAATAAAAGAAGAAAGTAATTCATGTTCATTTTAATTTTCTAGATTCATTTAGAAATCTCTTAAAAAGTAAACATAGAATATCGTATATTTTAAGAAAGTCAAACACTCATACTAAACATGATAGACGAGAATAGACCAATATAATGTATTACACAATATTGTTGTTCATGCATGTACTTGTTAAAATATCATTAAAATGAAAATTAATAAGATTTAAAATCTTAAATTTCAATAAACGATTTGTTCAAGTGTATTGTCACATACACCCTCGCTCAAAGAGAGAGCCCATTATAGAAAATTAAAGTGACCCTAATATCGTGGCCAAAGCACTTAGTCAAGACCGAAAGTAGTAAATGGAACCTAGCGCATTACACGAAAAGCTCATTCACCATTGGATCGGGATATACGAATGTGGCTGAGCATATTAGCTCATGCAGTAAGCTTTTTAGACTCTTTGGGATGAGTTCAAATAGAACATTTTCGATCTCAACTACAGTTTCCATACTTGGCAGTTTTTTGATATTTCAGCCATGCTTTTCAAGATTAACATCATTGGATGCTGATTTTAAGTTTAACGTCTTCAAAGTCCATTACTGACATTGCTGACGTTTCCCCCAAAATAGTCATGAGACACATGTCATCTTCTTACTTGTTTAAGTATTTTAGTTTGTTGCTAAGACTACCTACTTTCTATTAGTACCATATTTCAGGTACTGTTTTCATTTTATTCTTGGATCACTTTTTCTCGCCCATACACAATTAACTACTAAATTTTGATGGTATACCATCACTATACTATGAACGCATGCTTGCACTTAAAAGACCGGGGATTATCTTAATGAAGAATAAAATTGTAAAACACTTTAAGAGAGATATTTTTAATAGGAAATCACATCTATTATAAAATATTAAATCAAAATCTACAGAATCTCTAACTCAAGCAATCGTATTTTCCACCGATTAGACATAAAAATGACCGTCCATGAAAAATGGACTCCATAGCTAACCACTATTGTTGAAAGAAGGTTTTTGCGACTTTCAAAGCTATAACACTCTAAATGATTCCTATTATTACAAAAAGAAACAAAATATTGACCAAATCCAAAACGAAGTAAAAATAAAAATCAAAACATAACCAAAGATTCTACATACTAATAAAAATTGAAATAATAAAAGTCTAAATATTCTCAAACTCATCCTGCAATTGTATTCGCATTTGCCATTTTTATGCCTTCCTTCCGTCATCACCTTAACTTTCTCCTCTTAAAAGCACTCAATGATTAACATCATGCCACCCGTCCAGCTGCACAAATACATTGCCTTTTTATAATTCCCGCTCACACTCGTCATCCCCTTATGACACTATGGCTACTTAGGAGGGGCAAATGACCCAAGCATACATTGCATATATTACCAGCATCGTTTCATTCTCAATCACAAAACTCTCTTCTTTCTCCTCTAACCGCAGTCATTTGTAGGTTCATTAGTTATGTAATGTTGAACCTATTTGTGATAGTTCAATAAGTTTTTGGTTCAATCGAAACAATTACTAGACCAATCTATATTTAAAGAAATTCAAAAGTGTGTTGTGGTCCATTCCAGTCTTGCTTCACGAAATCTGATATTAAATGTTGGAAGTTTGAATTTGCGTACCCTGGCTAAGTTTAATCTGATTTAAATTTAGCCCTTATTTTATGGTAGTAATCGTAAATGGTCCAGTCTTTTGACATTTGATCCTAATAGAATTGTTCTAACATGATAATAGATAGAATTTATTTTCATGTGACATATAAATACTAGTCCAAAACCCAAACTTGTCAAAACACTTGAAAATGAAATAAATCCAAGACAAACACCTTTATTGAAACAAAAGAGAAATAAAAGGGAATGAGGGGCTTGCTGGTATGACTCACTTGATTGGTTCCCCACCCCAAGTCTCTATTTAGTAAGAGACATTTGGTTCAAATCGCACCAAGGGAGTTGGAGGGGGTCTCGCTAGCAATGATTCTTCTTACCTTTACAGAGTGGCTTACTGGCTGAGTAGGGAGAAACTGAGAAAGTTAAATGGAGTCAATGAGTTTGTATGGTAGTAGGAGCAACCTGATAGCAGGTTATATAAGCAAACTAAAACCGTTCTTTAAAGCTAGTTCCAACAAGGAAATTCAAATTTACTTGACTATGAGTTTCAAAGCATAGTTCATCGACTCCAGGATGATGGAGCAGAAACCTCAACAGTTGAAAAAAAAGCGATGTGATACGGCTCACTTGGCTGGCCACTATCCTTTAGTCTTCTCTTCGTGGGAGATCATGAGTACAACTCTCACCAAGAGAAATGAATGTGGTTTTGCTCCCAATGAGATTCTTACCTTTACTGAGTAACTCAAAGACTAAAGAGGGAGAGGATAATAGTGAAGGTAGAAGGTTCATTTGGTGGGATAAACAGCTTCATTATAGGTGGTGTAAGTTATGCTAGATTCATCTTTTCATGCCAATACCAATAAAAGTTGGGTGTGATCTTAATCGAATTTAACTATTTAGAAACTTTGAAAGTTAGTTCATAAAGTATTGACTTGAGAATGCAAGTACCGACACATACAATGTACAAACAATAAAAAAAGAAATGAGATAAAGAACTACACTCGCAAGATTCTGATCATGTAGTCTATTTGTAACGTAATCTTAAGATGCCCACAAACCCTTTGGCATCATTTTGTCTTTCTCAAATCTATTTGAAAGTGGAAACCATATAAAAAATCTTTGATTCATCTTTGTTTCTTTTGTAAGTGGTACCCAGTATATTTATCCGAGTCACACTTTTCTCTAATTCTCCTCCTACCCATATAATAAATATTATTCCGTACTATGGCTCAAAGCATCTCCAATGGTAATATGTGCACGGTGCACACGTGACATGAGAAATAGTCACATAAATATTAGTAAATTATAAATTCTTTCTCTCCTTATTTGAATGATTTTATACAGTTTTGGTAAGTTTTTCTCCACACTGTCAAGGAGACCGTCTAGATGTTGACATTATTGTTGACATAGCATCGATTATTCTCCCGTCCAATACATCCATACATGGTAAATTTCTTCAATTAAATAGAAGCTTTTTCTTTATTACAAAGTTAAGCTTTTAAATTACAAAGGTTTTTTTCCTGCATTTTAAATCACAAATTAATGGGATAGCGTGAATTTGTTTTATACGGATTCACAATTTTGAAAAGCAAAAAGGGGACAGAAGAGCTTCCACTAAAAAGCAGATGGATCATGGAAGCAACTCCACTAATACAAAATGACACAGAAAATCTATAAAGAACCCCAACTCACATTTTTAGTATATGCCTTCTGACAATCATGTAAATTTAAAACAAATATTAGAAAACTATTATTAAAGGGACATAGAAAGACCTTTTTACAATAGTCAACATATTGCTGCATGTTTAGAAGAGAAAACCAAGATTATCAATTAATGGATTGAAAAATTGCACATTATCCCAATTTTAATAGCCTCAGAATTTTACTTAAGGCAATAAGTTGTCCAGCATAAGAACAACTAGAACAGGAGATCAGAAGATACAAAGTTACAAACATTCTTCCTCCAACTTCCAAGTACATCTGCATACACATTAACAACAGCAGAGCCTTTTCCCTTTTTTGAAGAATTATTTCTAGCAGTGACATTAATTAGGACAAAGAATTAATCTCACTACAGATATCTATGATTCCTTTTCCCATGAAAAATCAAGTCTTGCCATTCTAGATTTCTAGTAAGGCCTGTGCCTCTTGTGACCGGTAGAATCGCCTTCGGAAGAAGCATCCATGGATTTAGAGAAGGAGGTCGATAGATCAGCGTAGAGATCGACAACCTTTCTGATGTTGTTGTTTAGTTCCTTAATCAGTCCAACGTTTCGGGTCAAATTATCCGGGCTTTTGGACTCATGGTTCTGATTAATCTCACTAATCAGCAGCCTATTATGATCCAAAATATTTTGAACTTGCACAAAGCTTTTCTGAAATGTCTGCAATACCCTCCCATCTATTTGTGCCCCAGAAAATGCATCTCCATCCATTTCTTGGCAGCTCAAAGCCAATCCTACACCAAAGAATTTTGAATCAATCTTCCAAAGAAAATGGAAAAATAAAAAGCCAAAAGGTAACTCTGAAATAGGGAATTAGGGAAAGGGTGGATTTTTACAGGTAAGAAAAGTCCAACATCATTGTGGCATTTAGTTGAAAGGATAGAACCAAAAGCATGATAAGGTTCTTGAATAGTTTAAAGCTAATTTGTACTACACGTTAGACTAATGGAGACGAGTGCATTATCTTATACAAGTACTTTCGTACATAATACTTACTATCGTATTAATTTAGGGGTGTTTGGAAGTAATTGTGCTTCTGCTTCTTTTTTAAAGCAGAAGCAAAATCAGAATCATTTTTCAGAAGCTAGTCACTCTCCAACTTCTAAAAAAACTGAATCTAGGAGTAAAAAAGAGCATCAAAATAACTTTCGGACTTTCATCCAAACACTCTAGCTTCTGCTTCTGCTCCCTCATGGAGCAGAAGCAGTTTTAAGAATCAGATCCAAACACCCCTAAGCTTGTAGTATATAAATACTACGTATAATTTTAATTACCAAGTGTCATTTTTTACTTCATTTTTGTTGTTGTCGAAATGGTCTTTCCTAATTTATCTCATACTACATACAGAATATTTCTTTTTACATTTGGAGATATAATTACAGTTATCTATCGATCATATTTTATGTGTTCTATTAGTGCAACCACACATGACACAACTCACAAGATAAAGATATTTGTACTTTATTTTTGGTAATAGTTAATTTAATACTTCGTAAAAGAAATCAACTAACATATTAAAAACTACACCAGAATTATATAGAAGAATAGAAATAACAACTTATTTAATTATAAAAAGAATATTTTTAAATAACATAAAAAATGCAATTTCACTATGAATGATAATATTAATTAGGAAATGCGGAAAAACTAAGTACCACCCAGGCCCAAAACATTCCTGTTTAGACTATGTAATGTTATTAACAAAGTAAAATTTTAAGATTTGGTTTCTAAAAATAGAAAAAGAACAATTGCAATTACAAAATCTTTTTTAGGACATTCTCAAAAGAAAAGTGGGAATAATTCAGGGATAAAATAAAATTGGGAGAGTTTAATATTGAATAAGGTTATTTTGGGGTAGTTTAAGATTTAAAAAGGAGATCCCATTTTCCATAAAAAGGAACCTTTATTGTTGTACCATACAACATAGCCAAGACCCAGAAATCAGCAGTCACTTTTGCAGAGCAGATTTGGCCATAACTCTCATATTGGTATCTATTCAACAAACACCATTATTCCCAACCACCTCAAATTGTTTCTTTTTTCTCTTTTTCCTGTTATTATTGCAAAATACGGAGTAGAATAAAAGATAATTTCCATCAGGTTTTTTCTTCTTTAAAATTCTATATCACCAGAGAAATTCGAAATGCTGTTTCTGTTGAAGCATAAAACATATTCTTGAAACAGACCCCGCATATAATGGTGGAAACTACCAAAAAAAGACAACAGTTATGGAGTACTATTTACTTCCATCAACAAGAATATTGCTTTATTTCACTGTTCCTCCTTTCTCTTTATTTTTTTAAACAAAAAATTAAATCATTATTAAGAAATTACAGTAGACTTTAATGGAATATTCAAATGAGAATGAAATAATTTTAAAAGTTAATTGTTTTTTAGACCAGCATAGATTCGTGAGAGCTGGAAGGGACCCAAAAACGAAGAATAAAAACAAACAAATAAAAAAATATAAAAAAACCTCCATTTATTGGGAAGAACAAGAAATGAAGTGACAGAAACAATTACCACTTAAAAATCAAAAGGAAACCAAGATGCAAACTTGAAGGAGAGGGTCGTCAAAACAGAGCTCCTAGAACAAAACCCAGGATCATAATAATCACTCTCGCTTAGAATCAGTCTGTTATCATAGATTTGTGATGATGATGAAGGTTTACAGAAACTGAGAAGAAAGAGATGGTACCCACAAAAATGTTGAAAGTAAGGAATGAAAGAGATTACCTCGAAAATCAGGGAGCATTATTGAGAATGAGAGATTGAAGGAGCAGAAATGATCGGCGATGGAATCGAATCTATGGATGTGAGAGAGAGAGAGGATATGTAGATTTGACGCTCACGCCCCGAACTAGCCTCTGCTCGATTTTGGGTTCCTCTCTCAGTATATATGCTTGTGAAAATCTATCTCTATAATCCAATCATTTATTAATTAATTAATTAATGACAGATTCTCAAATAATGATTATTAATTATGTGGCAAAATTATACTCCGTATTTGAAAATTATTTATAATTTATTATTTATAATATTATTTATAATTTTATAATGTTATTTTATTTTATTCTTAGTTGAAGTAGTTGTGTATTATATTTGAAAAAGGTATTTCAAAATTTTCATGTTCACATTTGGATTTTGTGATTTTATAAAAAAAAGTAATAATACAATTGTGAGCCCGTTTGGTAGCACCAAAATCAGCTGTTTTGGCTGATTCTGCTGAAATTTATGATATTCTGGCTGGAGTGGCTGTTTTGGCTGATTCTGCTGATTTAAGAAAAAAATATTTTAAAAATATATTTTATTAATAAATTAAAGAAAAAATTATATGTAAAAATAGCTAAAATGGTCCTCTACAGTAACTTCAGCCAATACAGCCAGAAAAGTAACTCCAACATTACTTTTTCGGCTTATTACACAATTCAGCGCGCGAAAGTAAGAGTTACGTGTTTGGTGAAAAAGCTGGCTGATAAGCCTGATAAGCCGAAAACAGAGTTCTCCAAACGGGCTCTGTGAATATATATTATTCCGTACTATATACGATCATCCGTTCTTTAATTCTTACAACAGTTTGACTTTCTTGTTTGTCAACGCACAACTTTGACTGCAATTATATTTAATTATATATTAGTAAACATTATAAAAAGTTGATATTTTGGAAATTCACATTGATGGGAATTCAATAACATTTTGTAGGTAATAATTTGATTATGTATACAAAAAAATTGATATCTAAATTAATAGAAAATAGTGGTCAAAGTAAGGTATTTGAATGGTGTAAAAAATTACAATATTTCAAGAATTAAAGAACGGAGAAAGTATAAAATTTTTAAGCATACAATCTTAAACCAAGAAAAGTACGCATTATTACGCGACTGTAACGTATTCGGTTTCCTTATTTGAGTTCTTTCCCCCTCCACCCATATTAAAGTTTCAATTTGACCAATCACAAAATATTAGAAAGTCAAATTTTTACTCTTTGATTTCCAAAAGTAGTCTATTTACTTATTATTTGTGACTCTTACCTTTTAAAATTTTTCACATAAATGTTTTGGAAATAATCTCATCCCCTCCGAATTACCTTCAACCATCATCCCGAAATAATCTGATCTTTTGTGGGTCCTGTAGCAACTAAGTAACTCTAATTTCATAGATAATCTCAAAATAATCCGGTTTCATATTTTGATCTCGGATTATTCTATCAATTAATTCTGTCCAATAATCTCTCTTACTCAACCATTCTCTCCCAAATAATCTGTCATGTCACTAGAATAATCACTTAATAATCTTATGGATGGTGATGCCCTTAGGGTAGATTTACCGAGTACAATGTTTTTAATTAATTAAAATTATAGAATTAGTGATATCTAGTTATAGTAAAGTCGTTTAAGTTTGCACCTCAGTAAACTACTGATAACCTAGCGAATACTTTCACTTATGCTCTGTTTGGATCAAGTGAATTTAAATAAACCTAGTGTAATAAAATAAATCTAAGTTTTAATAAAAACTAGGTTAACAAATCTAGATTCATGCATAAAATAGTGTTTGGAAATTAATAAGGTGAACCTAAGTTAACGTCATAAATGTTGTTTGGATAAAGATACTTTAGCTTATTTTATGTTTTATGTTGAACAGGAACTTAACATCCAAAATACCACACGTCGGAAGTTCTTCAATTTGAGGTGTTTCTAGGTTCTCGGAAGAAATGTGAGATTAAGTCATAACATAGGTTCTTGTTGCAAAAACACAAACAAACGGGGTAACTAAAAATTGAACCTGCAATAACCTAGATTAACCCCCAAACAAACAAGCTCTTGTGTCGGACTTATGTTGGATTTGGACTATTTTTAAGTAATCTTTACCATTACGGAGAAGCTTAACAAAGCCTAAAATTGACTGCGGCTAGAGAAGAAAGAACAGGGTTTTGTTAATGAGAAGGAACCGATCCTTCTGATTTGCGCTACCTATGGATGTTTGTGCCATTCGCCCCTCTTGAATCACCACTGGGTAAGGGGGTGGCGAGTAAGAGTCGCAGTTATGAAAAGGAGACATATTTGTTCAACTGAGCAAGCAGCATGATGTTGATTGAATGCTTTTAAGGGGAGAATATTAAGACGGCAACGGAAGGAAGACATAAAAATGGCAACTACAAATAGACAGATACAGTTGAACATCGAGTTCGAGACTATTGCAACTTTTATTTCAGTTTTTATAGATGTTGTAAAAGGCGTTAGGTGCTACTCGAGCGTCAGCCCAATGTCTAGTGCCTAAGTGCCTAGCCGGGAATCCAGGCGGGAACTAGTCAAGGACACTTAAATTATAGTTTATCATTATTTTTGCATAAGTATGATTAGTAAATTAAAATTTGTATTTGTGTGTAAAAAAAACACATACAGGCAAACATTAACATGCATGAATGACGAGCACTTTGTCACGGTACGTCAAAATAAATTCAATACTAGCACTAATACGTAGTATATGTGAAGTAGAGTTCGTATCCACAGGGAAAGGAATAATTCTCTTTTTATGAAACTAGTAAATAAAAGGGAGTTTTTGGATTGTTGGAATTTAATTAATTAAATACTAAGATGAATGACTTATATGTGATTTAATTCAAAGATAAAAAGAACTTGGTCTTGCTACTTTTACTTGTTGATATATTTTAGTCGATCATTGTTATATCTATAACTTATCCCCTCTCGAATACTCAATCGAGGAGTATATCCAATTCATCGAGGGTGGTTATTAACAACGATCGTTCATTAATAACCCTTACTATTAGTCAAGTATAGAACACCTCCATATACCGACTTGATAGTAACATTTAATCTCTTAACTCCTTGATGAAATCAATTGAGATCGATAGCCTCAACACAACGGTTTCGGTTTAACCAACAAAATTAATCCCTCTTAAGTTTATTAACCACGACCGTGCATTAATAAACCAAAGTTACTTACTTGTGAAACCATCAACGACTAACCATCGGTTCGTTGATCGTTTCTAGTAATAATTAATGTCGAGATATTAACTAATTGTCATCTTAGCGACACTCCCCAACATTAATATAGAGATAGATTAAGGGAAGAATTAATATTCAAGGGAAGAAGTTAAGAAAATAACTCACAACTTTAATAATCAACAAGCCTCAAGAGCAACACCAAGAAATGGAAGTTTAGCTCCTCATTTAGAGACTAAACATGCTATAAAAATATAAAAGAAATACTATTCTAAACTGAGCTTAAGAATAAGGAAGAAGGAGTGATTATTTGTGAAGGAAAAGTGTGCTATTTATAGGTGTTTTTCAACACTTTGGGCCGGGTACCCGACCGGGTCAAGTGCCCACCCGACCGGGTGCATGTCAAAATCAGATAATCTTCCATGTTCTTGTGTTTCAGCACGTCATTTTGTCCCGAGTCACATCTGACCCGACCGGGTCAAGTAGGGACCCGACCGGGTCCAGTGATTTTCCAGGTACTTTCGCTTGTTAAATCGTACCCGACCGGGTGAGTATTCCTACCCGACCGGGTAAGTGTCCCTGGGCAGCATTCCTCTTGCTTTTCCTCCCTTTCCTTGCCAAAAACTCTACCACTACTTTACAACTTATAAATGGAAGCTAAAAACAATTACAAACCAAATAAAACAAATGTTTACAAACTAATAAAAATGGTAAACAATACACACAAATCAAACATAAAAATATACATTTATGCACTACTAATTAGTGCATATCAATGAACGATATAGTTATCACATTTAATGATATATTATATCTACTCACTTTACTTCCTTATCCAATGACAACATTTAAGATTATATACAAACATGTATAATATCTTAACTTAATCTACATCTAGTAGGTTTTTTTTATATGCATTCTCAGAGTTATAGGTACATATATCTCTTAGAAAATCAAAACAAAAAAGCAAAGCAATATGTTCGGTCAATCTAGACATCCTAATAGGCCAATTAAGCTCTCTGGGCGGTCAACTAGGCGCTCTAGGTGGCCATCTTATTCACCTAGGTGTCAAACCAATTAGGTGGGGACTAGTCGGGCGCCTAGAGAGATTTTTAGAACAATGGTTTTTATTAGTACAAAATCTTAGGTTATGTTTTAATTTTTATTTTTTATTTATTTCGTTCCGTATTCTGTCAATGTTTTATCTTTGTTTATTTTACTAGGAATCGTTTAGATTGTTAGTAGCATGCTGACTTAGAAAGTTGCAAAAATCTTATGACTTCGTCTCCATGACCATGGACGATCTTTTCTATGTCTAATTGTTGGGCAAAACACGACCCCCCGACCTCTTCCAGGATCACCAGTTCAAAGGACTCTTGTACATTTACCCACTTACTCGTAACACAAAGATTCAATCTAACAATATCACTTTGTATTATAAAATTGAAATGTACAAGAGATATTTTACAAGTAAACAGGTAGCTCACATCACTCTTTGTATGAGACTACTTCACTCTCACATCCCTCTCTAGAGGAGGCCTTCACTTAGTCAATAGCCCTCCTCAAGGATCTCTCTCTCATCACTTGAGGAGGCTCCCTCTAGCCTCTTACTCTAGGACCTCCTCATGGCTCTCACTGTAGAGGCTCTCTCTCATTTAGGAATGAGGAATCTCACCCCTATTTATACAACTCATCTCAAAGCATCTCTAGAACTTTCTATACATCACTAAATTTCTAGATTCTTCCAAGAACTATCCACAAGCTTCTATAATCTTCTAGAAGGATCTAGAGAACTCCACATCGCTTGAGAATGTTCTAGAGGCTTCCACAAACTTCCGCACGATTCTAGAGAATTCCACATTTCTTTAGAAAACTCCACAATGTTCTAGAATATTCTACACTCTTCCACACACTTCTAGATAATTCCAC